ATCGTTCTTGAGCTGCCCTCCCACATGGGCTGAACTTGCAGTGTGGGGTGGAGAGAATGGGGATTCTTTGGGGAGTTTGGGCTGTGTCTCCCTGGTGATATTTGTACAAGTGTTGTGAAACTTGTGGATTTCTTAAATTAAATTGCTGGCGGGGCCTCCTCTGAGAGAAATCTTCCCCTGGAATAATCCAGACTGGCTGGATTACATAAGAGCTGGATTACATGCCATTTCCCAGCACTTGAAAGGGTGAGAAATGACATGCCCCAAACAGCAGCTGGATCTGTTGCTCTACTGAGGGGTCCTCAGATTGATCTTTTTGCCGGGCCAACGGTTGCAGTCTTTGTGGAGGAAGCTGGAGGCTCGCCTCTGTGTGTATAACTGCTCATTCCAAATCAATTTGTAAGTCAGGGTGGCATTTTCTAAAGTGAAAAAAACTAGGCGAAAGAAAAGAAAAGCAAGTACCGTGTTTTTAAAAAGACCCTGCGAGGTGCAAATAAAAGGGACATTTGCCAGGGCTGGGCTGGGGAGCCTGGGGTGGATGTCGCGGTTGTCTGTTGCTGCAGGTAAGAAGCCTTCTCTCGCAGCGGCTGCGTGGGGTCATAGGGAAGCCTTCTGAAGGCGCAGGACCCCCGCTGCCCTCTGCCCGTGTAGAATTTCAGGCACCCTTCAGCCTGATCTTAAAAGCTTTCTGCAAAGGAGCAGCTGAAGCGGCTTGTCAGACCACTGTCCACCTTTTCATGGCTGACCACCACTGGGCGACCCCAGGAGATGACTGGAGAAAGGCAGTTCTTGAATTTTAAAGAAAACATCTCCTGCCCCTGCTTGGAAAGTGAGTCAAGGGCAGATGCTTTTGCCCAGATTTGTTCGTGTTGGCCAGTCATGAAACAGAACAACGAGGAGCCCACGTGGCTGTTCAACGCCAGCAAGGTCTCCCTCGGCGTTGCCCTGCTGCTAGGAAGTTAAATGAACTTTCAGAGTAAGTTAATTCCTTCCAAAGGAATCCGTGCTGTGACTTGGAGCTGGCTTAGTCTCAGAAGGGTCCCCAAGGGCAGTGTGCCCCAAGGCCCTTCAGTTTTCCGACTCCCCCAGGCGTTCGTTGGGGCCCTTCTTTTCCTTTAGGCGTATAATCTTCAGGTTTCCTTCACACTCTAGCTGCCTTCTTTCCTGGTTTTTCCTTCATGGCCTGGGCCTCTGTCCCCGTGTTGCCTCTCTGCTTCCTGTGCCAGTCGCTGCTCTTCTCGGGGGGCTCAGTCAATCCCAGCCAGAGAGCTTTTTCTGCAGCTCAGGAACCAACCACCCCCGAGGATCCCCTGACCGCAGAATCCCATCAGCATCTAGGAGACAGAATTGCCTTTGCGTTCAAAATGTTTCCTGATATTTCACACCCAACTTTGGTCTCAGAGTATGTTAGTTTCGCTGGAGTCAGAAAGTAAATAAATAAGTCTGTTTCTCCAAAATCGAGTGTTTGACATCAACTCCATCGTGTTCTTTTCTTTTTTTCTCCCTTTTCAGTGCCCTTTGTTGACAACTTATAATGCCAGGTCTGTATAATTTCCTGCCTTGGATGCTTCCTCCAAAACATCCTGCAACACCATGTATTTCATTCTTTCTTTGCTTTTAACTGCTGACTTACAATTCAGCTTTGCTGTTGTCCTGATTTATACTAAGGAGGCTTATTAATTTCTTACTCCACAACATTCTTGGAGGAGACTTGGAAAACGGCTTAATTAACAAGCAGGATGCAAGATTGTCAGTTGTTGGTTGGTTATATTAATTGATTTGATACATTTTACTCAAGTGAAGATGCTTCCGTGTAATTGCTTGGCACAGGTGTAGGCAAAGTACAATCCCTGGCAGTTCTGAATGGCCCCATAGACCCCCCAGATTAAATGACAGTAAAAATGTAGAGGTTGAACTCTCATAAAACCATCAGCATTTGTGAGATGCAAGTATTTCTGCAGCAGATGTTGCAGTTGATCATTGTTTGATGGCCCCTGCTGCTTCAGAACATACCGTCTCCTGGTTTAGCAAGTCTTCATGTTTTTATGATGTTTTTTATGGATGCAAGTATTCCCAAAACCTGCAGGTGGCAATCTCTACTCTCCATTCAAAGCGGACTTCTTTCTCAGAAATGAGAAATGCATGCATGTACCATCTCAAAAAGAACATTTTTCTTTCTTTAAAGCAGTTGCTTTAGGTTTGGCTCCTCACCATCTCTGGCTGGGGCTCAGGACAGACCACTTGTTAATTGACCAGTTGACCCAACTGACATACACAGTTGCTGGGTCACACATTGTGCATCTGAGCCATAATGTGGGACTCGGTTGCTTTTGTTTTAGCCTTTGTCCTTTGTAACCCAGGATTTATGGCTAAGCAGAATGTATGATGCAGCCACACAGGTGCCAGCCCTGTGGTTTTTAATCAGTGCCTCTAAACAAATTGGAAAATTATGGAATTGGATCGGGTTGTCTACATTAATTGTAAACTTAATGTCATTTTTAAATACAGGCATAGCTTTCTGAAATTCTGTTCCATTGTTGAATGGATAACACAGGTTTTTTAAGGATGTGTGCTTGCACACCCGTGCACACACACACACACACACACACACACACACACTTAGAGAGGTAGGTTTGCAGAAGCTTTATCATTAAATTCCAAACCCATACTTGCTGTATTTCAGGTGTTTTTAAGAATGTGTGGAGTCTATATTGCATGTTGCTTTGAGAGCCAAGTGGGGGAAGGAAGGACGGTGCATGCAAGCGGAACAGCTGTAAAGATCTGCTTAGCTCCATCCCCAGCCTTTTCCTCCTGCTGACATTCCTAAAGATGCTTTCAAGGAGTTAATGTTTGAAAGACATTGTTTAAGGATGTGGTTGAGGTGGTGAGGCCAGAGTGACAGAAGGCATAAACTGGTGCTATCCCAAGCCCCTTCCCCTTGCAAAACTGGACAAAATTGAATGGATGCAGCTATCTTGCAGGCTCAGGATTGGCTGTGTCTGAACAGGAGACTGTGGCCCTCCAGAGGTTGGGGACTGAAACCCCCCACAGTCCCTCCCTCCTGGCTGTGCTAGCAGAGGCTGGTGATTGACGGCTCTGAACTGACAGAAAACCTTCGCTCGCTCAGGCAGACGTTTCATTAATGCAATTCCACAGGGTAGCTACCCTGTTGGCTGTTCCCCTGTGGATGCGCCCATTCTTTCTTTGTACGTCACAGCCTCCTCCGGCCATGCTTTCCTTTTATTTCTACCCCCAACAGAAAATATACAGAGGGTTGCAGGCTACCAAGCAACTGGATACAGAGGCCTGGCTGAAACTGAGGAACTCTGGGTTTGCTTAGATGGCCTCACTGGGGCCCGCGTGGCCAGCCTCCCCATCTATTCCACCCTGACTCAGGGAGGAGAAAAATGGACCATAGACCTTCTCATACCATCAGTAAACACCAGCCTGGCACCCTTCCATCTGATGATGCAGCCCCCTAATTCCCAGCCTGTGTGGCCGTTGGGTCTGCTGGCTAGGAATTGCTGGAATTGAAGTCCCAACAACCGTGGACAGTTTTGGGGTCAGAGACACCCCTTGTTTTAAAAATGCATTTTGGTTCTCTTTGGAAACTCAGAAAACAAGTTTAGAGGTGTGTTCTCTTCTCTTTCAACAGCTTGTTTTATATTTGCCTTCCTTTTTTCCCCTTGCTACTGAAAGGATTAGGGTTAGTTGGGGATCAGGCTGGGCTTTGATGTGGCTGATGGAAATTCCCTCTTTGTTGTCCAGGTCCTAGGCCTGGTGTGCCAGGAGAACGGGCTCTGAGGCACATGTAGCTATGCAGCCCACGGGGCCCAGCCCCAGCCCCTTCCCTAGCCCCTTCCCTGCCTCCCACTGAATTTGCCTCCCTGTTGCCTTTCCAGGGGGGGTTCTGCTTTTTTTCATGGAGAAAATCTATGTGGTCACTAGGAGTCAAAAATGACTTGATGGCACCTACAGTAGTCAATCAATTATACTTTTTTTTGACCCCTGATGCTGCCTTCCCCACCTTGGCCTGATACTTCCTAGCCCATCCATTCTCTGCAGCTTCCCTTCGGTGGCCCCTGACTGCCCCCGTCTTTCCTTCCCTAACCTGCATTTTCTTCTTTTTCAAAAAACCCGCTGTAGTGTTTTTTTCTCTGAACAGAGGGAGTCATACTGTTGCGGGAAGAAAACCCCAACCGTTCCCCACCCGCAGATAGAAGGTAAAGATGTAAAAAGCTCTGCATGGGGCTCTCTGATTTGTGGTACCTTTAACGGATAGGAAGGCCCTTGGGCGACTTGCGGGCAGCATTGGTGACCTAACCTGTGCCAGAGCGTGATTGGAGGAAGGCAGTTCTGGCGGGTTTTACTTAAAAATGTTTGAATGTGTATCAGCTTATTCCACAGTAGTGCTTCCTGTGTGCCACCGATCCTCTTCTTTGCCTCAGCTCTCCTGCGCAGAGAGGTGGAACGGCTTCTGCGTGGCACACATGCAAAATGATCGGATCCGCAGTAGCTGCAGGTTCAGTCTGGAAAAGCTGCCTGTCCTGGGCCCGTGAAGCTGTGGCCCGCCCAGTTTAGGCAGGCTTCTCCAACCTGGTGCCCTCCTTGTTTGTTCATTTGGTGGGTTTATCTCCTGCCTGAGTCCTAGCAGACTCCAGGCAGTGGACCAAGACTAATAAAACAAATAGCATTAATAATGCAGACCAAAAAAGCTCTAAAGGGATGCTGCCACCTGCCCTCTAAGCAGTCTGCTACGGCCCCTGCAGCAGCTGGATTTTCACGAGGGTCCGGGAGAGGCGTCTGCTGCTCGGGGCAAGGGAAGCCAGCCCTGCCGAAGATGGAAAGAGGGTGGGATGCGGCCCAAGGAGCGTTCCTCTGTGAGCGGGCAGGGGCTAAGGAACGCTAGCCCACGCCCGTGCCCAGCAGGGGCATCCCGGAAGAACTTTGGCTTTCCTCGCTCGCTTGCGGCACCTGCTCCTGTGGCTCCACTGATGGCGGTCAGAGTTTGCAGCCTCTGGTTGCCGTTTCCTCCCTAGATTTGCCTCGCCCCCTTTAAAATAAGCTCCGTCGGTGGCTCTTGCTGCTGCTAGCGCCAGCAGAGTCCAGAGCTGAGCTCTGCGTTCTGTGAGGAAGCCCCCTGCCCTCCGTCTGGCTTCGCTGTGCGTTTGGCTTCCAACTCGGCAAGGGAGGGAGAAAAATGTCCCCCTCTCCACAGGGTTTCATTTTATTCTACCTGGGACCTGACCCATTTTCTCTCAGGTTGACTGGTGTAAATAGAGTTGAGGTGCATCGGAGAGGTGAAGCAGGAGTAACTTCTGCTGCTCGCCTCGGTTAGGAGCAGAGGCCCTCTTGCGTGCTGCAGCAGATGTCTCCGGGAAGGCCACGCGTGGAGTCGGCTGCCAGCGGCGCCTCCTTTAGTGTACTTCTGCCGCTGATGGACCTCTCCAGGAGTTGGGGTCACGTTTGCAGGAAGGGGCTCGCTCAGCATTTATGTGGGGCAAGAGGGTCTGTCACGTTGGAACTCAAAAAGTGGAGAAAGTTACCCCTCAGTGCCTTGTTGCATATCAAGCCACCCGATCCGCAGAATGCCACTTGCTAGATTCTCTGTGCCTTACCTGCGTTGCTGCCCTAGGCATTTGGTTCTCAGTAATCCAGAGTACCACCGTAGTTCTGATTTTGTGTCTTTCTCAAGAGATCTGGTCCTCTGGATAGGAGAATTTTGAAGCTGCGTTTGTTTGCGTGAGTTTAATAATTGGCTCGCGAGGCTCTTCTTGGATCCAGATGCATCCGCAGAGTATTTTGCTGGGTCCCTCCATCTACCTGGTCCTCAAGTAAGATGCTTGCCCCGTTGCAGGTCTTCTGGGGCATGTGCTGAGCTCTGCAGGTCAATCTACGTGGAGCAAAGGAAACTCAGTCTGTCACTATTCATTTCAAAAATTTACACAGCTGCCCATCTCACAAACATAATTCTGATGTATGCCTTGTCAGGGTAACATCTGTAGGGACCTGCTCCAGTCCCCCAAGGTTGCAGTTTTGAATTTTGGTAGAAGAGGATGCGAGAGGAAGAATATGCTTAGATGCAGATGCGCCTCCTCTGGGCCGGTTTCTGTCCAGCTGAGACACAGTGGGAAAACTCTTGACCAATTTACTAAGAGGGAAAACCAAGATCTTGTAAAGAAGAGAGATAAGAGATTCGCAGCAGGCCTCACTCAGCGGGGGCATCCGTGCCCTCCTGCTGGATGTGTCTGTGAAAATGAAGATTGACGATTTCTACTTGATAACCTTCCCCGAAGTCAGTTTTACACTGTCAGGGATCGTGTCCTCAAATTCAAGGACGCGACAAGGGCTGATACGAAATGGAGAGGCTCGGCTGAGGGTCAGGGTCAAGTACTGCTGATGGCAGCGCGGGGGGGCTTCCATCGCTGCCTTGCGCGCTCCCCTGGGCCAACCTCTTTTCTGTTTCGATTCACTTTGCAGAACTCAATCGGACCTTCAGGATCAGTTGAGACTTTGGCCGACGTACCTGAGCACGTCCTCAAAGGGCTTCCTGAGGAAGTGAGGCTCCTCCCGTCCACTGTCGACAAGACCCGGCTTGGTGGGTGAACCCAGAACAAAGCGCCCGAAGCAGAATAGCTTTAGCTTCTCCGCCCTTGGGGAAGGCGGTGGAGGCGGGTTCCTGGCAGGTTTTTCTTTTCTTTCTGCACGCAGTGGGGTGCCCAGGGTTAGGCTTGCCCCTTCGAGTCTTGGGTGCAGCAGCAGCTTCAAAAGCTGTCAGGAGATTTGATTTTTCATGTGGCAGGAGTGTGAAATGATTAAAGACTTCCTGAATGATTGTCAGCCTGTATTTAATCAGTTAAAATTTAATTAACAAGCGTAGTTTTCACCCGAGCCCCATCCACTTGATGGGCGGTGGGCCCTGGCGGGAGGATGTTGCCCCAGACCAACGGAAGTTGCTGAACACTCATAAGGGCAAACGCAACACTCAGGCAGAGAAAGTGGAAGAATACCATGGAAAAACTGCCTCTAGGGAGACCAGCAGCAGCCCCCATGAAAACCTTGGAGTGGGTCATGTATTTCTCTTCACAATTCAAGTCACCCCGATTAGCTTCCTGGGGTGGCTTTGACACTCACCAACATCCTGTAACTCTGAAAGCTTCCCCTGCTTGCTTACTGCGGGGGGGGGGGGCTTTTTGGGCAGCGTAGCCCCATTGGGAATGCTACTTCGCTTGATTCTACACTTCATTCTCACGTTTTCTAGTCCTCAAGTTTTGAAGCTGCAGCAGGTCCCTTTAGCTGCACAGTGTGCGCCACTGTGGCCTCTTGCTGTGGTCTATTCTGTAGCTGCATCAGTTTATCCTAAATTTCACCATGTCCTTGCTGCCTGCCATTTCATTCCTCTTCATAAAACCAAAGATCTCCAGCTTCTGGGTGGCCTGCTGAATGAAGCCAGATGCTTTCTTGCTGTAGCGTCTGTCAGGGAGGAAAGATCTCACGATGCACGGGGTCTCAGCCTGGACGCTATTCATCTTTCTTTTTTCAGCGTGACACTTTCTAACATCCCCTGGCTCCACCGCCCTTAATCATAGATCTCATTTTTAGACACTCTGCAGACCCCATTTAGGCACCAATCTCAATTCAGGACAGTTGAAATTGGGCTGAGGAAAAGGATGCAGGTGTCCTTGCATCCCGCCGGCACTTCTCTTCCATCCTCGAAAGCCTCCAGCTGTCGGTGCAGCACCCCCCAAGACCTAAGGTCCTGCTGTAGACTTCTCCTTTCCCTCAGCCTGAGGTCGCCAGGGAGGAGAAGGGCTCCAGACCCCTCTCGGTTCCCTGCCTGTAAGCATTTGCACATTATTCTGGGGACGCCTACCTGGGGCAGAAATAAGACCTGCCTGTAGAGCACGGAGAAGCTCTCTGTGCTTGGACTACAGTTTGCAGGGCATTGAGAAGCTGTGCCTTTCACTGGAGCTAATTGGGCCCAGTTCCCTTGGCAATCCAGTTTGTCAAGAAGGGGAATCGATGTCGGGAAGGGGTGTTTCCAGGATCCCAACGCCACCCCTTTTCCGCTGTCTTCATGCAGCAACCTGGCCGAGGCCAAGAGGAGCTCACTGCTCTTTGTCTGTTTGGTCTCCAGGTGTCTGGGCCACAAAGCCCATTTTCAGAGGCAGGAAGTTTGGCCCCTTTGTTGGCGACAAGAAGAAAAGGTCTCAAGTGAAAAGCAATGTGTACATGTGGGAGGTAAAGAAAAGCTGATGAGAAGTGGCGTTTCCCTTCCCTGACAGTAGGCTCTGAAGTAAGGAGGAGGCATGGGCGCAGGAGGAGAGGTCCAGCACACCTCTTCACTCCACAGTCCCAGCCCAGGGGGGAGGGGAGGCCCTGCGGGACAGCATGTCTCTCCCCTTCCTTGATCCCCACATGAGTCTGAGGCTCTGGACCAGGGAGCTCTGATGATCAGTCTTTCTCTTTCTCTCTCTCCTCTTCTTCTCTTGCCTGCCCCCCGCCTCCCCTGCTGTGACATTTCCAGGTCTATTACCCAAATTTGGGGTGGATGTGTGTTGACGCCACGGACCCAGCGAAGGGGAACTGGTTGCGTTATGTGAACTGGGCTCGCTCAGGAAAGGAGCAGAATCTTTTCCCGTTAGAAATCAATCGGACCATTTACTACAAAACGTTAAAGGTAGCTGTGCTTCTGTGTCTCTGGGTGGGCGTGATGGGTTCCCTGATGTCGAATTCCTGTGATCTTGTGAGAAAACAGAGAAAGACCATCTTGGTCGTTCCCAGTTGAAAGAGGGTGGGAAGAGCCCACCCTGGGCCCAAGGGATGGGCAGTCGTTTTCAGCTGGTGGGCTGCATTTCCTCTGTCTTCCCTACTTCGAGGCCTCAGGCAGGAGTATTATCACTAGAATGTGTGGGACATTTTTTAAAATACATTTTAATGTCTTTGGCTCTTGGAAAGGTTTTTAATGGGCAAAACGGTTGCCTTCCAGAACTTTAAGATTCCAGTTTTGTCTCTTAGAACCTCCTCCAAGTGGGGAAAATTGGTCTGATTTTTGTCAGGCTTTTAAGGGGCATCTTGGATACCTTAAGTTTCTTTAAGAGATCCTGTTTGCCCTTAATCCCAAACAAATAAATGGCCCCAGAAATGTCACCCCTATGGTCCCGGTTAGGGACCAACTGCTTTAATTCCCCCAACATGGACAGAAGCATGTGAAGACCCACACGCCAACAAGTTGTTTGCTCTGCTCTTGCCTGGAAAAACTGATTCTGCTTCAAAATACAGTGTGTACTTTCAGATGGATGGGTCCAGAACATATTAGGGATTTTTCTGAAAAGGATTCCAGGCGTGGCAGCCTTTTGAAGCCCCAGATGCAAATGCAGTGACAGGCATCCAGGCAAAAGTTGCTTCAGATATCACAACGCCGCTAGATTGGAGAAACACTCTTGCAGAACACCTGCCTTTGTGAGATCTTCCCTGACGTTTTGTCTAGCTTGGCAGTACAGGTAGTCCTCCTTTACTGACCACAGTTGGGATTGGCAACTCTGTTGCTTTGCTAGGTGAAGCAGTCGCTAAGTGGGAAATCAGGTGACTGCAATTTTCCTTTTCCCCACTTCCCTGCCATTCTGGATAGCCAGCTTGAAAGTGACAAGAGGAGTCAGTTTCACACCTTTGGCTTTTGTTTGTTTCCTAACCACTCCCCCTGCCTTTGGAATGCTCACCCCAGCCCTGGGATAATGAACAAGAAGGAAAATAATGTTTGTATTTACATTCCCTGGAGAGGAAGGGATTACAAGTGAGTAAGCAGGCACACAATGGGGAATACACATGGAAAGCAATGCATTGGCGCCGGCAGCTGTGAGCACACTACGCAAGCAGCCTGGTGTATTCCCCATTGTGTGCCTGCTTACTCTTTTGTAATCCCTTCCTCTCCAATTTCTCTGCTCTGCGAGGGGGGGAAAAAGAAAAACAACAGGCACAGGACAACACACGCTGACTGTAATGGCGATCACATGACTGAGGGACGCTGCAAAGGTCACAAACGCAGGCATTGGTCGTAAAGTTATTTTTTCAACACCGTCATAACTTCGAATGGTTGCTGAATGAGGCAGTTGGTAAGCAAGGACTGCCTGTATTTTCTAAAAAGGAAGACCCGCCATTCGTAGGTGCTCCACCGTCGACTTCTATGGGGTCGTATCTGTGGCCTCCATCTTTTGTTCTGTTGCAGCTTCTGCAGTTTGTCACATGGTTTGTAACGTCACAGCCTTGGCTGTCTGTAACCATTTCCCATGGGGAGAAGTGCTCCAGAGCGGAGGATCTGGAGGGTGGGTTTTTGTCTGGATAGGGCAAGATCGTGGTTTGCTTCACTCTCTCCCTGCTACTTACCGACTGCTCAGTATCTTTGTAATTCCCATCCTGGCAATGTTCATTTGGTCTCTTTTTATATCTGTTTGTTTGCAAAGGTGTTTATGCTGCCTACCTGAGTGACTCTAGGTGGCTCACTGTCATATATTAAAACAATCCTTAATTATTCTTAATTGATTCTAAATATTTATTTTCTTTATGCAAACATAGTCCCTAGCAAATACTGACAGGTTTGGTTAATAAGCTTATAAAACAGGATCATTTCAGTATTTGTGGGAAATGTGACTTTGGTATTGATACTTCTTTCTGAATGCTTATTGAAAGTGGCGTCTGTGTATTTGTGTGTTTTCAAGACTGTTTAGGCCTTTCAGACAAAAGCAAACTCCATAGCGGTTACAAACTCTGTGAAAGTTTCCGAAACGATTCATGCCCAAATTTGAGGCCATCCTGAAAACTAAGGAAAGAGGCTGTGGAGCGAAAAGGACAAGAAACCTCTGTTCTCTTCATTTGAGCAGTAGCTGCCGTTCTTCCATCTCCTCCTCCTCTTTCCTGAATGTTGTCAGATTTGCAGTCTGGAGGCTGAGGCTGACGTGTTTTTATTTTGTTTTATTCTGATTTTCGAGAGTAGATTAGAAGGCTTGGCTTTGAAATGTGGAAGGAGGAGATGGGGGTCAGATGTTCCTGCCAGCTGTCTTTGGAAAAAGCAGGGGAAGCTGACCTTGTTTTGAGAAGTTTCACGTGTCCTGCTGCCCTTTTGGGGGCAGCGGATGTACCTGGGGATAGAAGAAGCCGTGCTCTGACCCACATGACGTGACGACTTTTCCGAGCGTTATTTCTGAGCAGGGGTTTTCTGGAAGAGCAGGGGAGACCCGACGTAATGCGCAGGAGCACCTCAAACTGCCTTTGCTCCAGCAGATCCTTCCCCCCTTGGGAGGCAGGATGGTCAGTTCTTGGGGGAGCACAGAAAGCTGATCTCTGCTGGCTGGGCTCGAGCGTTCCATTCGGCCGTGGCTTGTTTAAACGCAGTTTATTGATAAACGACCATTCCCGGGGCCTACCTGACGAGCTAAACCGCCCGCCACCCCTTTCCTCTGTGCCCTCTCAGACTAGGTTATGCCAGTCCAGGAGGAAGCGTGTTTGTTTCAGGTGAACGAAGGAAGCAGGCGTCAGCGTTGGTTTGTGACGGAGCGAGTCGCCCAGCCTCCTCGGATGACTCAGCTGGCAAACAGTGGGGTTTTCCTAAATGTGCAAGTCACAGCCTTGTCCTGCGGTCCTCCTTCCAGCAGAGGGGCTGGACGTGGCCTGCCCCTCTCGCCCGCTCTCGCCCTCTCTGACGCTGCCGCACGGCCAGCCTGCTTGCGACGACGGAGTCCCGGAGGGTTAAAGAGTCCTTCCTGTTTGGCCGGTCGGGGCCCTCTCCCAGCCGAGCGAGCGAGAGAGCGAGCGAGCAAGCGAGCGGCAGCTGTTTGCGACCCGCCCGCAGCTCCTGCCCGCCTCCTCCCCCTCCCTCTGCGTGGGTCGGCGGCTGCTGAGCGAACAACCCTCGGTGCGATTGGCGTCCTGCTTTTGTCTCTTTCCTCCTGGCAGCCAATTGAGCCCGGGGATGAGCTCCTGGTCTGGTACAATGGGGAAGAGAACCCGGAGATAGCAGCTGCTCTGGAGGAAGAGAGGGCCAGCCACCGGAGCAAGAGGAACTCCCCCAAAGCCAGGAAAGGTAAGGCGCGCTCCCTCCGCCCCCACTGGCTGCCCAGGGGGCTGGCTGCCCGGCTGCCCGCTCTCTCCGCCCACCTGCCCTGCCTGCAGGAAAAGGAGGCCAAGCAGGAGAGGGGCGAAATGACAAACTCCGGGTGTGTGTGTGGGGGGGGTGCCCGCCCGCCTGCCTTCCGTCCGCCAGTTCCTGGTTGCGAGATCGAGAACCACTTTGCTCTGAGGCTTCCTCGTTCAGCCGACTCTCTGGCTCCACTGCCGGCCTGCTCTGCTCGCTTTGCTGCCTCTGGGTTTGCCCTCCCCTCCCGCCGGCTTCCCAGCCTCCCTCTGCCTCTCCCTGGTTCCCCAGGACCCTGGCCCCTTGTCTCTTCCCCCTTAGCACCCCGAGCTTTAAAGCAAGAAGTTCATTCCCCCACCGAGAAGGAAGTCAGGTGGCTTTTTTAAACCACCCCCCCCGTGGGAAAGTAGTTTTAGGTACTTTGTGGCCTGCATGAACAATGATCTTTTGGGTAAAGTGGGATGGCATTTTCACCCCCAAACTGCAAAACTGTTTGCACTCCCTCTAGTCCTGTTAATGATCCCAAACTCAGGGTGCCAGTGACATTTCAGGGCATACCAAATTCGGAGGGCTGGATTTGTACAGGTTGTGGTTAGGATCACATTTCAGGATGTTGTTGAAATTTGGGCAGTGAATCATCAGGCTTTCAGACCTTACAATGTTGCACTTGAGAAAATTAGATCTGTGTTCTACATTTCTTGTGAGTAAGATTCTTTTTGAAATGTTGAAAGGCTGCCCTACAAGACTGTCACATATCCTGAAGGCAAAAATCACCATGCATTTATGGGGCAAGTGCAACAAAGAGGTGCATAATATTGAGGACACAGTTTATCATGGGATGATTTTTTTTTTTTGGTAAAAACTAACTCAGGGAAGGTAAGAAGAATGAAGTTGCAGCAATGTTGTTTTTTTCAAGGGTTTTTTAAAAACCTTGTAGCAGAGAAACTTTCAAAATGAGAGAAGTTGGCATTCTTGGGGTATCCCTGATTTTGTCTATTTTCAAACCTTGTTTTATGTAATGGCTGAAATCCCTGGTCTCCTGCAACTGGTTCTCTTAGCTATTTCTTAGAAGTTCCAACAAGGAGGATGAAAGAGCAACCTTGGTGGTTCTCCTGTGGGCGTGCTGTGCCTTGAGGTGGGTCGCCGTAGGGGGGCAGGGAGTCAGAGAACAGAGTGGAAACAAAAACGGAGGCTCCAGGCTGGGTATCCTCGCGTGCTGAGATCCCGTGGAACGAGTTACTGCGCGGTAAACATTAGGTTGGATCTTCTGGCACCCCGCACAGTAATTTATGATTGAAAGGTGATGATAATATCATGGAGAGGAACTGGTGTGAAGGGAAAAAGACTCAAACAAGAAAATTTAGGGAATGGGTCACCATTTCACATAATGTTACATTCCACCTCTGGCAAAAGTTCAGGAACACAGTCCTCTCGGCCGTGAGGTCTGAGTTCCGCTTCTAATCAGTGGATGCACCAAACTGCCTTTGTTGGTTATGAACTAGCTTTTGCTGATCCAGGGAGGATTCTCAGCAGTCACCACGGGGAGCCTAGGTGGCTCTTCTCTAAGGTCAGGGGTCAGGGAGCATCCAGATGTCAGCCGATGAAACGTGAGGGTGTCCTTGGCCGGCAGCGTCCATGGGAAGCTGAGGTTTAAGGAGACTCCTGCTGGATCAGCCCAGACAGGTCCCTTAGCTGCCTTCTTTCCTGAAGAGTCCCAACGGGGAGGGGGGTGTTCCAAGTGGGATGCAGGCCTGTCTCCCACCTCCTTTGGATCTACCATATGGTTCCAGTCCAGGAAAGGGCTTGGCAGGAAAGCCCGTGCTCCTTAAAAAGCGTAGGAAAAGAGATTAGGAATCAGTGGCAGGAAGACCTTCCGGAATTCAAGAAGAGCCTGGCTTGGCTCTCGGGGAGTGAAAAGGTCAAGGCCCCCCTCCCAGAATGTTGCTTTCTGGGGGTGCATGTTCTGCTGGATGATGGCTTCCCCAACAAGTGAGCAAGCCCATCAGTATTATAATGTGGGGGGGGGGGGTATTAAGCCTGGTGCCCCTCTGTGCCCTAGCCTCGGTGGAGCGTCTGGGAGCTTCTGCATTCTTTTGGGACCTTCTTGATCGGAAGGGACCAGGTTCAGAAGGGCCATGTTAGAGCTTCAGATAAGCTGAGGGGTTTTCTTAGCGATTTCTTGACACCCCATCTTTTCTAAAGCTATTTTCAAGGTTCTTTGTAGGAGAAGAGTAAAAACCAAAACAGTCCAGCTGAATGCAGATCTAAGATCAGCCTACAGGAGATTGTATTTAGCTACTTGGCAAAAGAAAGCAGTTTTGAGTTGGCCCATCATGTAAGTGTGTGCAATTGAACATCTCAGTCGCCCCGGTCACCTCCCATCTGACCTCAGCAGGCAAGCTTAAACCCCGGGCCAGGTTTCTGCACGAGTAGATGATTTTTGAGATCCACCGTCCAGGCTGGATCGGGCTCAAGTGGAAGACTAGTCCAAGGATAGAGTGGTCGTTTCTGCGTAATGGAGGAGATGGTTTCTTGGTCTGGCTCAGCTATCCATTTGGCTGATAGATGTATCCAGAACAGAGCATCCGTTGTGTTATGTGAGTTGCGTGGCCTGATTTCATCCGTGTTTCCTCATGAGTAAGTCCCTAAGAGTTCAGTGGAGCTCATTCTCAGAGTAGTCTTCGTGCAATTGTAACTTAAGACCTAAATGGGTCAGAGTCAGTAATAACCAGTTTTAATTCAGGAAACACAGTAGAATTGGTCTTAGAAATTTTTTAAATTTAGTTCAACATTGAGAAAAAGCCCCCAAACATAAATAGACATGAGGTGAAGCGCATGGCTGCCACGCTGCAAACAGTTGGTTGCCCAGAGAAAATTGGTCAGGAATATCCAGCTAGCAGTTGCTCCTCTGCTGGGTTACACGCTCAAGTGCCACGGGTCTCTTTTATGAGAAACGTTTTTTTGGAACGGAACTCAGATCTTCTGAATTCACGATTTGGTGGAACTTTGTTGCGCGGAAGAAAAAGAGGGAAGCATCTCCTCTGATTTGCTTGTTTTATGCAGCATTTTGACTCTTGCACAGTGTAACCCAAGAGGAAGATGGGAGGGCTGGTGGCTCGCTTTAGCTCCTCTCACAAATTCAGTTTTCTTCTTCTGAAATCATACAATCTATTTTAATAAATGTGCTTTGGAATCCAAGAATGGCACAAGTTAAAAAACTGCTCTACTGCTCTTCCATATCCTGGGTCTCCAGATTGAAGTGAAGGTTGCTGGAATCTCACAATAATTAGAGAATGAAATTAAGGAGAAAGAGGAAATAATTTACTCATGGCTAATTCTTTCACATGCATTTTTCATTGCTCACAGAGCTTTTCAAATCAGTGGCCTTAGTTTCAATAATTCCATTGCTTTCTCCCCACCCCCCATTTATTCACTCAACATTTTAAAAATCCAGGCTAAGGAGAAACATTGAGGAAATGGGAATCATTCTTAGCTCTGGAAGAAGTGTGTTGGCCCCCACACCCTACAAACTGTTTCTGTTCTGCTCTTGCTGAATCGGTGGGCAACACATAATCTTAAAGATCCGGTCAGGCTGTACATCCCCTCCCCTCCCACTGTTGGCCATTTTAGAAAAAGGTTGTTAGGATTTGGAGTTCAGAAACATCTAGATGGCTATGCATTGCTCCTCCTGGAGAATGGGCTGTACCACGTCAGAAGATTAGCCATTGCTTCTGTGACAAAATGCTTCTTGAAAAAATATCCTTTGTTCAAAAAATGCAGGTGTTCAAGGAATAGCTTGGAGATTAGCCTTCTTCCTGAGGTGCTGGCTACTGATATACAAATAATTATGTTTATGCAAAGGGGGAAAAGGGAGGGTGGTGCTTTGCTGATTCCTTGCCCCCCCCCCCCCCCGCAAGGTAAAATGTAGGCTCCTTCAAGTAAATTGATTACTAATTCAGATCAAGACAAAAGATCAGAAGGACTCTGGAAAGCTTCTGCTTTTTAATACACGCACACACATGTTTATTACAGCCATAAGGCCAGATACAGCCTTTTAATACAGTTTGTCAGTCAGAAAAGCTACCAGACTCTTCCTGATTTGACTAACATGGCTCTTCTCCTCCAAGTCAAGACAAAATTTGAAGTGCTTCACATAACATGTAATGAGTTTATGCAATCGGGTGTCCCCAGGTGGTGATATTCATTTGCTTATATGGGTTTAAAATTAGATTAGTCAAACGAGGGATGAGAGCAGGCCTGATCAATGGTTGTTAATTACAGTGGGGAATGAGGTCCTCCTTTGGCTGAACACTGCTAAATCCCACTTCAAGGGGAAGGCAAAACACGGCAGCCTTTGGCTTCCTGGAGGTGCCCGACTGGCCGCTGCGGATGACAACGGGAGGTGGAAGCAGGTGCAACTCTGCCCGACCCAGCCAGAGAGTTTGGGAGAGGGTCTACGGTGATCTTCAGCCAGTAGACCTTGTATCCTGAGGAGCATGAATCCTTTGCCTCAGTTGGCGTGTCCTGTGAGGCTTTGGAGAGGGACTCACTGGAAGCCCCCGACCCCAGTTCCCTCAGAAGGCCTTGCTGTGGCTTCTGCAAGACTTGTGCTGAGAGCACCAAATGTATTACTGGGTCGGTTGGTTCAGGATCATGGGTACAGCTGGGATTTGGGGAAGACAGGCACGCCTTCAGAAAACAGGTGGCCGCTGTGGGGGTGGCCCATCACAGAAGACCCCAACCCTTTTGGAAGGCGGAAGGTGCGGTTGCGCTCCTCGGGCCCAAAGGTATGCGTTGGCTGTGGTGTCTCTTCCGGATTCATGCCATTTCAGGTGTTTAGCCCACTGCTGCTTTTTGACTTTCGGTTGATGCAGCAGTCCCATCCTCACAATGAGTGCTCCTGAGGTTAGCCTGGGCCAGGAGATGCCCATTGGCACCGGAGTTACGTCTTTGAGATCGTATTGAGACAGTTTTGTGCAATCTGGCTGGAAGTGCGAGAGAGAGAGAGAGAGAGACTTTAGCTGTTTCTGTTGGCTCCTTGGACTCTGATCCAGTGGATCTAAAATTACATTTGCTCTCAAGTTGTCATTCTGGCTGTTTTTAGTAAGCAGAGCAGCTGCTGGCTGAATCGCCTCGGACCACCGTTAAGGTCACCCACGCTGAATGCCAGACCGGCTGCTTGAAACTCAGAGGTTCTTCCAAGAAAGGGCCAGTGGTCGTCTCTTGCAGGCGCTGCCGCCCTTAAGCCAGAGGCCCCCGCGGAGCTTTTGGCTTTGAGAGGCTGAAGTCTAAGTCTAGGAGCTCAGGGGAAGATCCAGTTCCCTCGTCGCACTGAACACCGGATCGCTTAATTAGGGTTCATCGAACAATCCGCAGAGGACTGCAGAGCCCTCGGCATCGGGTCTGCGTCTGGCCCCCCGCTGCAGGCCGAGCCCAAGTCGGCCTGTCCCCGGACGGCTCAGTGAGATGTGGTCCGCATGAAGTGCCCAAGGACCGCGAGCGAGCCTTCCTGGACTCTTTCGTTTGGAGGGGGAGATTGCTTTTTGGTTGGGCTTTTAAAAAGACACTTAAAGTTAGAAGAACAAGGGTTTTTCAGCTCTCCAGCTCTCTTTTTCAGCTCTCCGTCCTCCCCAGACTGAATCAAGCCCCAAAGTGGCGTGGTTTAAGTAGACTAGTTTCATGGCGTCTGGCTGGTTCTGCTTCATGTCTACGTCCGTCCTGAATTATTTTTCGAAAAAGCAGCGTCTCACAAAGGTGTCTCCTGCGTGTGCCAATTCCCAAAGGCGCAACTTACCTCCTTCCTTCTTTTGCAGACTCGTGTGTCGTTTGCTCTGTACACACAACACACGCAAGCAGATGACCCTTGGCTGCGTCTGACACTGGCCACTTTGGGGTGGCATTGCCTGCTGGGCAGCCCAAGTGCATTTTGTACATTTATATTTCAGTATTGGGTGAAAATCCCCCCCCCCATGAATTCAGTAACAAGTAAACTTTGCTGTATGAAGTGCATCAACAGACACTCTGCTCCTCAGCCAGCCCGACTTACTTCCACAGTCTTGCAGGGTTGCCTCTGTGGCCTTTACAGAGTAATCCAAGCTACTCAACCCTTTACTACTTCTTAGAGATAGAAGAGCAAGAAAGAAAATACATCAGCGGTGGTGCTGGCGATGCGTCTCCTCTTGCTTTGCTTTAAAAAATCTAGCAGGGAAAACAATTAAGGATAATTAAACCTCGCTTCCTTGTTTGTTAGGTTTCTGGGATTTTGCTCTAGTCTAGAACGATGGACAATACATCCTTTGGGCAAGTGCCCATTTTGTAAGTAAAAACAAAGGGATGCCATAAACAGCCAGTTCCTGTGCCACGCGCCTTGTCTCTCTGTTCCCTTCTCCAGAGATCCAAGGACAGGGCAACAAGAAGTCAAACGATCATTCCCCTGTAATAATAAGTTGTCCATTTGCCATGGAGGCAAGGAATGCCTCCCCCCCCCCACTCCGCCATTTAATTTCGAAAGGGCCTGAGAAGGGAGCGGAAGGGCTTCAGCCGCTCGGCCGTGTAAGAATTCTGACCAGGTAGGATCCCACAGCCCCAGTGGTCCGTAACTTAGCAGGGGTCAAGGTTAGAGGCTCTTCCTGGTCAACAGAGGCAAGGTGGGGGATATTATGTGTGTGTGTGAGAGAGAGAGAGAGAGAGAGAGAACAGATAGGGGTGTCAGGAAAGCAAAACTGCTCCAGGGGCTTACAAAACGCGTAGGCCCCTGTCCAGAGCAGAGCTGCCCGCTGACCGTGAAGGCCTCCCGGGAGCTGAAGCACTGAAGGAGCCATTGCGGAGCCTCAGGAAGGGGCCAACGTGTCTGACCCCACACTTCCTGGAAGACTAGCCAGCCACTGAACGTGGCCACGTTTTGTTGCTTGAAGGGATCATCTGGAAAGAAGCCCTGCATTTCATCCAACTCTTCCTTTTTTTCTTCCTAGGAAAGAAAAAATCCCAGGAGGCTAAAAGCAAAGGCAAGAAAGCCAGGGATAAAAAGCGAAAGGCTCCTTTGGGTTTGGATTTAACACCTTTCGGTATGAGGGAGACCAAGGAAGGTAAGGGGGTGTCTGTCTCCTGCACTTCCTTGGTGGGTTGGAGCTGAAATTGGAGGCGGGGTTGCAGAGTCACTAAACACAAGATGTTGTTGGCATCTCAAGGTTTGCCAATGACCAAGTTCTTTAAAAACACAAAAGAGAAGAAAAGGCACCAGAACGACTCGGAACTGACCTTGCTTGCTCACCGTAGAACAAGCCGTGGAAGATTAAAATGAGCTACAGAGGAAAAGCGGCGTGGCCTGAGGGGGGTTTTAGGAGGGCAGGGCCAGTGGGCAATATGTGGTGTCGTATTTTGTGGGGGGGAGCAGGCTCTTACGGAATTGGGCCTAGATTTTTTTTTTAAATAAATAAATCTGAATGCATTTGCTTTTAAAAGGGCAGTCCACGTATTTGTGGCTTGCAAACGGGAATCACCCCAGACTGCTGGGGGAACACTGCTGGGGGACCGTTGTAGGATGCTGTCTTTGTTTTCCTCCGTTTCTCAGGCCATAAACCAGAGGAGGAAGCCCCAACAGTTTCTGCGGTGTTGCCCCTGGACCAGGCTGCTGTCATCCAGGAGATGGTAAACCAAGACGCACTCCCCACCCTGCTCGTCTCCGGTCCAGTGAGCGAGGCACCCGCCACCCCCAAGGACAAGCTGGGAGTAGTACTGCGCAGATCGAAAGATTTAGAAGAGGACGAAGAGGAGGAGGCTGAGGAAGAGGAAGAGCCTGGGGAGGAAATGGGGGAGGAAGAGGAGGAGGAAGAGCCTGAAGAAGAAGAGGAGGAGGGTAGCTTATCTAAAGAACATCCAGATGTGGAATCCATGTCGGTGTGTGAAGACAAGCTGGAGTCTGTGGAAGAGCAGAGCAGCCTATCCGAGGACTCTCCTGAAAGCTCTCCCAAGAAAAAGCCTTTGGTGAAGTTTCCCAAAACTAGAGGCGAGTCCAACGGTAACGTCCAGGGGACGTTCATGTTTCCCTGCCAGCACTGCGAAAGAAAGTTCACCACGAAGCAGGGCCTGGAGCGCCACGTGCACATCCACATTTCGGCCATCAGCCATGCCTTCAAGTGCCGCTACTGCGGCAAAGCCTTCGGGACGCAAATCAACCGACGGCGCCATGAGCGACGCCACGAGGCTGGGCCAAAAAGGAAGCTGCTTTTACCCTTGGCTTCCGCCCAGCTGTCCGGGGGCAGTGCCAAGGCTGCTGAGGGGGCTGTCCAGAATGAAACCAAGGTAAGACAGGATGCCCCGGTCCCGGAGGCCGAGAGAGCTTCTTCCAAAACATCACATCCTCTGTCCTTTGAGGAGAGCAAGGACCCCAAAGAATCACACCCGTGCCAGTACTGCAGGAAGGTGTTTGGCACCCATACCAACATGCGCAGGCACCAGCGGAGGGTCCACGAGCGACATCTCATCCCCAAAGGGGTCAGGAGAAAACCGGAAGAGCCCCAGGCTCCAGTGGGGCAAGCCCAGCACGCCCCCGGCGGGTACGTGGCCAGCACAGACCTTGAGGAAGAAGGGGAAGCCGACGACGTTTACGTCATGGACGTTTCCAGCAACATATCCGAAAACCTCAACTACTACATCGACGGCAAGATTCAGTCCAACAGTAGCACGAGCAACTGCGACGTGATTGAGGTGGAATCCGGCTCCACCGAAGTCTTCGGCATCAACTGCCTCCTGAGCCCTGTGACGGTGGAGATCGCCTCCAACGTCAAGGCCGTGCCGGTGCACCTGGTGGAGGGGTCGAAGGAGTCGCCCACCGGCGGAAACCCAGAGGCCAAGAAGAGGAGGACGGCAAGCCCCCCGCTGCTGGCCAAGATAAAGACAGAAATGGATCCAGAGCCAATCACCTCCCTCTGCTCCCTGACTATTCCTCTCGCGATATCGACGGTGGAGAGCTTGCCCTTCCCCAAAGAGAAAAGTATTTATTTATCATCCAAGCTGAAGCAGCTTCTCCAGACGCAGGACAATAATAAGGCGGTGCCCTCTCCCCCGTCCTCGGCAGGGGATATCCCAAAGCTGGGGCTTCCTGCGGCATCTTCCCCTCTTCTCCCTGCAACCTCGAGCAGGTTCAAACGGCGCACCAGCTCCCCGCAGCACAGTCCAGGCCTTCGAGACCCAGGCAAGGCCGGCGAGGGCAAGCCCGCTTGGAACGAGGCAGCCCTGAGTGCGAAGCCCCCCAAACTGGAGAGACGTAGCAGCTCCCCCACCTGGAGCTTGTCCGGGAGAGAAGAAAGGGAAGCCGTGAGTCCCCTCTGTCCAGAAGAATACAAGGCGTCTAAGGAGTGGACGCCAAGCCCGCCGTTCGGGAACGTGTGTAATCAGCAGCCTTTGGACTTGTCCAGCAGCGTGAAGCAGCGGTCAAATGGGAAGGATCGAGCCCAGGGGCCCTGGGAGTCTGTGCTGGATCTGAGCGTCCACAAGAAGCCCGGCGGCGATGGCGGCGGGAGCAAGGAGGCTCCCTCGACTGCGCCGGCCAGTAGCGCCGTAAAGAAGAAGCCCACCACCTCCATGTTACAGAAGGTTCTGCTGAATGAATACAACGGGACTAGTTTGGTGTCCGAAAACCCCTCCCCAGACACGAGTCCAAGCCTGAATGTCTGCAAACTACCCGAAGCGCAGTCACAGCCTGGCCCCGCTCCCCCAGCGCCTGTAGCAGAGCTGGGCTGTTCCGGCCTCACCGCCGAGACGTCCTTGCCTCCAGCGTCAGCCTGCCAGGCAGCGTCGGTCTTGACTCAAGCAACTTCTCCTGCCCATCCTCCGTGCCCACCCATGCTCAAGGCCCCCACGCCGCCGCCACCTCTTCTTCCCACGGTTCCTTCGCCACTCCCAGAAGACCCCCTCAGCACCACTCCAAGTTCCTGTCCCTCTCCCCTGTCCAATGCCACTGCCCACTCCCCTCTCCCCATCCTTTCTCCAACCGTCTCAGCATCTCCCGTGCATTCTGTAGAGCCTCTCAGCTGTGCTTCGCCTGGGCCACCCACTCTCTCTTCATCGTCATCCTCCTCCTCCTCCCCCTCTTCCTCTTCCTCCTCTTTTTCTTCCTCTTCCTCCTCTGCATCCCCCTCCTCCTCTCCTTCCCCCCCTCCTCTCTCTGTAGTTTCTTCTGCCCTCTCCCCTGGCGATAACCTGGAAAATTCAGCACCCCTGATGACCTTTAAGCAAGAGGAGGGAGAAAATAGGTGTCCGAAGCTGCGGGAGGACCCCCACCACTCAAGTGCAGCAGATGCCATCCAGGAAACCTTCAGCAAGAACTTTGTGTGCAATGTCTGCGAGACCCCATTCCTTGCTATTAAGGATCTCACCAAGCATTTATCCCTTCATGCCGGGGAGTGGCCCTTCAAATGTGAATTCTGTGTCCAGCTCTTCAGAGAGAAGGCAGGCTTGTCAGAGCATCGCTTCTTGCTCCACGGAGTGGGTAACATCTTTGTATGCTCCATCTGCAAGAAAGAATTTGCTTTCCTATGCAATCTGCAGCAGCACCAGCGAGATCTCCACCCCGACAAAGAATGCACCCACCACCAGTTTGAAAGTGGGACCCTGCGACCGCAGAACTTTACAGATCCCAGTAAAGCGAGCGCTGAACAAATGCAAAGCCTGCCCAGCCTTTCTTTGGAATCCTCCAAGGAGGAGGAAGAGGAGGAGGAGGAGCTAAACGACTCCTCTGAAGAGCTCTATACAACCATTAAAATCATGGCAGCTGGAGTCAAACCCAAAGATCCAGACGTCCGCATGGGCCTCAACCAACACTACCCGAGTTTTAAGCCTCCTCCGTTCCAGTATCACCACCGAAACCCTAATGGGATTGGAGTGACGGCCACAAATTTCACCACTCACAATATCCCACAGACCTTCTCTACCGCCATTCGCTGCACCAAGTGTGGGAAAAGCGTGGACAATATGCCCGAATTGCACAAGCACATTTTGGCTTGCGCTTCGGCCAGCGATAAAAAACGGTATACTCCAAAAAAGAACCCCGTGCCTCTGAAACAGGCAGTCCGCCCTAAAAATGGAGTTGTCTTGCCCAGTCCCACTAACAACGGCTTCCGGCGGGTGGGCCAGCCCCAGAGACTCGACTTCGGCGTCGAGGTGAGCCGAATGGCCTCCAACAAACTAAAAATCAGCGCCCTGAAGAAGAAGAACCAGCTGGTCCAGAAGGCGATTCTGCAGAAGAAGAAGTCGCAGCAGAAGGCAGAGCTCAGGAACAGCGGCGCGGAGCCCAGCTCTCACATCTGCCCCTACTGCAGTCGGGAATTCACGTACATCGGAAGCTTGAACAAGCACGCCTCCTACAGCTGCCCCCAAAAGCCCATTTCCTCTTCCTCGAAAAAGAAGGCTAAAAAGAAAAGCGGGGCGTCATCTCCCAGCAGCAGCAAAAGTGGTGCCAACCTGCGCCGGCGAACAGCCGACGCCGAGATCAAAATGCAGAGCGCTCACGCCCACCTGGGGAAGACCCGCGCTCGCAGCTCAGGGCCCGCGGCCGTCCAGCTGCCCTCTGCCTCCTTCAAGCTGAAGCAGAACGTCAAGTTTGCGCAACCCATCAAGCCCAAAAAGGCCCCCCCTCCACCCGCAGTGAGAAACGCCAGCTCGGCGAGGGTCGGCAAGGGGGCCCCGCCGGAGGGAAAGCGGAGCAAAGGAGCCGCCAAGAGCGGTTCCCCCAGACTGCTGAGCAAAGCCTCGCGCAAGCTGCACGTCCGCCTCCAGCGCAGCAAGGCGCACCCCCCAGCCAGCCAGAAGAAGGCTGACCGGTTCAGCACCAAGTCGAGGGAGAGAGTCGGAGGGCCCGTCACCCGCAGCCTGCAGCAGGCGACCTTTGCCGAGGCTGCGGAGAGCAAGCGGGAGGAGGGCTCAGCCCGGCAGGAGCCGAAGGACTTCAGGTGAGCTTTTCTACGGAGGTTCGGGCCGGCAGCGTGGTCCTCTGGTCTCGGGAGGGAGAAGGCCAGGTTGGGCCAGCCAAGCCCCGCGGACTCCCTTCCGAGGGCATCTAAACATCCTGCTGTGCTAAAGCCTGGGCAGGGTGGGGGCTGAACGTGGATCCCGCTTCAGGAAGAGCAGGGTCCGCTCTCGTTCCGTCTGCAAATCTGGCGGAGGGGACGTGTGTTGAAATCGGGTCCCATCTTAATTCATTTCCAAAGTAGCATGGAAACCCTCTGCAGCGTGGAAGGAAACCCCTAAAAGACAAGAGAGAGAGGAGACCGGAGAGAGCAGAAGGCAGTTGGGACAAATTAAACTACCGTGAGGCCTCAATCTCACACGCGGACGGCACCCGGAAAGACGAGCTCCAGAAAGGCTCCTTCCCCAGCCCCCAAGGCTGCTCCCTGGGAGAGGGTGGGGGGTCGGAGCGGGGAGCTGGCAGCCCCGCAGCAGAGGCCAGCGGTCAGCCGGGCACTCGGGGCAGACCCCCTTGCGCAGGGTTGGCCTCCCTGGACCGAGTCTCTCTCACGCCCACACCAGCCAGGGTTCAGTTAAAAGGGGAGCTTAGCCGGTGTGCTTTAACCAGCCTGGCTCACACACAACACGAGGCCAGAACCTCACGCTAAGGCGAAACGGAGTCCCGTGATGGCTTAATGCACAGACCTGGCCCAGGCGGGGAAAACAGGCCGTGCCAAGCATCGTGTTGCCACATTGGTCATCACCTGCGGCTACTCGCTTCTCTCTGTCTTGGGAGGCTGGCATTCACCCCTCCTGTGGCTTTAACTACCCAGCCTGCCATGTCTGAAGCCTCAGCAGCAGCGTACGCACGGTGCTGTCTGTTTTCAGCTGATGGACCTGTAGAAAACTGCACTGCCTTTAAAGGCTTATATCTCAGCCCTGGAGCTATCAGTTCTCAGTCGGTTCCTGTTTGTGCAAAGGAAGGAACGCTGGACTCAGCATAAGCCGTCCATTGTTCGCTTGATCTGGCGGAGGGAGAGGGCGCTGTCCAAATTCTGAATTGCTCGGGTGGAGGCTTGGCCTCTTGAGCCCCAAATAGATGGGGTAGATCTTGCAGCGTTCGGAATAAATGTAGTGCGGCAAGGGAGGCTTAACTGTCGATCCGTTTGAAATCCCCCCTGCAAAAGTTGCTATTGCCTCGTGAGGGGAAACGCTTTTCACGTGCGCCATCTCTGAACAAGCTCTGAGCCGATCGCTTTGAGTCTGTCTTCACCGGGGGTCTGAGGAAGGGCGCGTGAGCTGCCCTGCTGCCAAGAGCTGCCTCCAGCCATCCTCCCTCTTCCTCTTCCTCCTCAGCTGGCCAAGAGTGTTGCCCACTTTTGAGGCCCTTTCTAAAGATGTCATACTTCCAAGCAGTGGGGGGAAAGAGGTTTTTCCTTTCTTTTATTTGGCATTGAGCAAATGGGCGTTTTGGCAGGCGCTGAATATTCCTGATTTTTAAAGCACCCTTTGGGAGAGAAAGTCATTGGGCTACTTCGTAGAGTGTCTTGTGCCTAATGGGTTAGAGCTCAAAAAGCTCTAAGCGGCAGCCTCGGTGGCTGACATCGTCTCCGCTCTGAGGCCGGCCTAGTATTGGGGGCGTCTCCTTCTGCAGCCCCCCTCTCCCAGCAACAGGAGGGCCTCCACCCCGACCCCCGGCTTACCAGCTCTTCAGCGTTTCAGGCCATGTGCCAGTTCCCAAGATTGAAGTCTGGGGCCATGGCCGGCAGCGCAAGTGTGTCCCTGCCTCGGATGCCGGAAAGACAAGTGCGCAGGTGCTGGTAAGGAAGCATGTTCTCTGCCCAGATACATGCGGTCGAACATGTTACATGAACTTGGCATTTGGGGCTTTCCGTACGGCATGAACTCAGCCAGTTTGTTCAGTCGCAGTGGAAGAAACAGTGGCCTACTGTGGAACGTGAATCGATTCTTACTGGTTGGACTGATTTATCCCAGAAGTGGCTGTTTTGAAGAATTTGCCACTAAGTTTGTTTCTCTTCCACCATCTCTCTCCTTGGTATTTGTTTCTGGTTTTTTTCCCCTTTTTGTGAATCTAGGCTTTTGCTTTCTCCCCTGCAGGAACCTTCTTTAAGAAGAAGACGGACCGAACCCTCCAAATGTGTAAATGAGATTTTCCAGGTCACGGGCTTGAGCCGTCTTCTGCTCAGGGCAGCAGGATGAGTGCAGCGGGCCGTCCTCCAAGCTGGCACAGCCCGGGCAGAGCCAAGGATGCAGCGGACAGCTTGTCGACGTGCTGGCTCCAGAGCCGGGCTCACATTGCCCCAGCCGAGCCACGCAATTCTTGGCTGCAGAGACAAGGCACGCAGGCATGCGGTTGCCCCTCTTCTCCCCTCACCCCCGCCAACCCTGGTTTTTTAATAAAGGACATGGTCAAACTCAACGGGAGCAAATTCCGCCATGGAGTTTCTTGCTTAAACGTCTTGCTTTTATCTGATGCAGTAAGGTGGGAAGCAAATAACAAATAAACTCAGCTGAGGGTGTTGCCAAATGTATTGAGAGCAGTGCTCTTCAGAAGGCCCCGGCGTATATCAGGGATGGCAAACTGTTCACACTGCATCCGAAATATTTTTGGTCACCCATCTGGTCTCTGAAAGCCTTTGTTTTACCCCCTCCAGGGGTTTCCTTCCTTCTCCTCAGCCTCCACACCGCCACCGCCGCCGCCTCGCTGGCTTGGTTCCAGTCCCTGCTTTTCCGAAACCGCTTCTTCACACTTTGGGGGAGCAGGAGAAATGTTGGTGCAGTCAACCTTAAAAATATCAATATCCAAAATTCTCCTGGGGTGGACGAGGCATCCACAGTTTGTTGGGAATGAATTGCTCACCATAGAACACTGTATAGCACAATGAATGCACAGAAGAAATGGCTGTTAACTGGCTGGCAATGGATAAAGCAAGAGCTACCTTTTTCCTTGGGGTAAAGCAGAATTGACTCTCCCGCCCCTCCCCTCCCCTCTTCCCCGGATGCGGCTCCTTTTTTTTCCAAACATGTATTCTGAAAACTTGCCTTTCCATTTCGGTGAACAGCAGTTGTTTCGTTTCACTTAGGCCACCCCCGTTTTTCAAAGCTATTTGTTCTTGACTTAAAAAAGAAATCTACCTCTTAAAATTTGAAGTTTTGATATTGTTTTGGTGACTTCATGCCACTTGAACCACCTCTCACTATCATTCCCTTTTATTTTTTTTTGGTTGCATTTTTTTTCCTGGTTTATGGGGACATCTGCATCAAACAGTTGTATAAAGCATTTGTAGCAAGTTTGGAAAGGGGGGATAAAATATTTAAAATTATTTAAATTGTTTTTGACACTTCAGTTGTATTATATGTGATTTACATTTTACATTAATTTGTTTATGTGGGAGAGAGGAGAGGGTCTTTAATCTGAAGATGGCTCTTGTATTAAAGTTTGCTGTTCTGTAGTTCTTCATTTTTCCCCTTTTTCTTGTTGGAGAGTGATGCAAAGGCTATTCTATTAAAAACATTAAAATTTCCAATTTGCCATACAAAAACCAAAAGTTTGTCATTGCTTTCAAACATAATGTTGGCATGATACGAGTTTGCAGCCAGCCCTGGAAGCGAGGCTGTCATCCACTGTTGCCAGCTCCCCACTCAAAGTGCAGGACATCCGTTCTTTCTGCAGCCTTCACATTCAGCGGGGAAACAAAGTCCGCATCCTCTGCATTTCATCAAGAGTAGTTTGTTGGGCTGTAGCCTGAAATGCTCCTTCAATATTTGTGAGTACCAATAAAACACTACGGGGGGGGGGTTGAGGGGAGATTATGCTATAATGTGGCATGGGCAAATGGAAGAATTAACTTGCCTTCAATTCTAGATGACTAGCTGAGGCCCTTCCTTGAAGTATCTGAGCAGGAGAACAACCTGACTTCGATGCAAGATAGTTCACCTACAGAAAAGAGGACTGGAAGACGTCACCCCTTCCCTTCCCTTCCTCAAGGGTAAGTCAGAGACGGCTCGTTTGGCCTTGGAGGCTGGAGAAAGGATGATAGCATAGCTGAACTGGCCATGGAAGCATCGCACTGAGCAAGCGCAGAGGCCCAGGTAGAGAACAGAAGACCCCTGGCTTTAGCCTGTGAGCACCTATGCGGAGAACTCGGCATTGTGCTGATCCCAAGCTGAATGTGAGACAGCAAGAGGGCAAGGCACACACAAATTTAGTCTGTGAGGGGGTCTGAAACCCGTAGAGCAACAAGTTTAGACTTGCATCGGTAGGACTGTAGTTTCCAAGCCACTTGCCATTTTCCATCCATTTTGTCATGCGCTGCTCAGATCTCCCCTCAGCTACTTCATCCACTTCTAGACTCATTCTTCCAAACAAACCAGACCCACAGTTTGAGGCTGAATCTGGCAAGGAGAGGGAGGACCCTGGATGTGTTGAACTGTGGAGGGGCGGAATAGCACTTTTCATGTACCTGAAGGGGCATCGGAAGACAGCCAAAGTGGTCCATTGTCTCAGACGGCAGGAAAGGCAGATTCCAGGTGAACGTTAGGAGATGCTTCTGAAGCCGTTGTTCCCCAGGGGCTGGGGAACACGTTCAGGCAGGCACTGGACAGCTGGTCTCTGCTTTGATTTGGATTTCTGCATTGAGCAAAAGCTGGATCTGATGAGCTGGAGACTCCTTCCAACTCCTTTGGTTCCTTGATACTGGATTTTACTCCCATTTCCAGGTTTTGCAAATGGATATGCCCACAACATTGTCTCTTCCCAACCCTACACATCAGCCGTCAAGGGCCTATCTCTATTCACCACCAAAAGATTATCTTTTCTTTGCACTTTGAGGAATCCGAGATATTTAGCTCCAATCAGCTGCTAGACCCACATATGCAAAACAGCTCATTAGCCCTGCACATTAAATGCTCCTCTCTGCTTCTGTTTAACATCTACATGAAACCACTGGGGGATATCATCTGTCACCACGGGGTGAGGTATCGTCAGTACACTGAGGGTACTCAGTTATCTCTCTCTGCCCCTGGCGAATTGAGTGATGCTGTGGATGTCCTGTCTCAGTGCCTGGAGGCTGTTGGGGTCTCGATGGGGAACCAGAGGGTGCACCCTGGGAAGACCAAGTGGCTTTGGGGTTTGGGGCCTACTGAATCTGGGACTTTACCGTTTTTGGCTCTGGGTGAAGTGGCACTGCCCCAAATGGACCCAGTGGGCAATCTGTGGGTCCTTCTGGACTCACAGCTCCTGCTCAAGGAGCAGGTGGCAGTCATGGCCCAGAGGGCCTTTGCGCAACCTCACGCTGTGTGCCAGTTGTGCCCATTCCTGGATTGTGAGGCTCTGCTCACAGTCACTCATGCCCTGGTCGCCTCCCAAATGGACTACTGTAACACACTTTACATGGGGCTGCCCTTGAAGAGTATCCAGAAGCTTCAGCTGGTGCAAAATGCAGCAGCCTGGAAAGTTATGCGTGTCCCTAGGTAGACGAACGTTGCACCTCTGCTCCGCCAACTGCATTGGTTGCCAGTTTGCTTCCCGGTCCAATTCCAATATATGGCGTGGGCCAGCTTATCCGAGAGTCTGCGTCTTCCCTATTACATCTACCCATCCTGGCAGGAGAGGCATGCTGTGGGTCCTGTCCGTGAAAGAGCTCCATCTGACAGGACCCAGGAGGCGAGCCTTTTCCGCCGTGACATCTGCCCTCTGGCACACCATCCCTCCAGAGGTGAGGTTAGCCCCGGCCTTCCGTGAATCTCTTAAAACATGTTTTTTTCAGCAAGCCTGGGGGTCCCCTGGTAACAGGGAGCCTGGATGCTGGTTGTACTGTATGTAGACATCTTCCCTCTCGTGGTCTTGTTTTACCCATGTTTATTGTTTTAATGGTTTTGCAAAATGTTTTAATTCTTGGTTTTATTGTATGCCGCCTAGAGTCACTTTGCGTGAGATGGGTGGCCAGATACATTAGACAAATAAATTCCAGTTACAAGTTACTGGGAAGACATTCAATCTTAGTTCCTCCTTAGCGTATTCTGTACCTTTGCTAACAACTTAGATCTGCCACAACTTAGAGACCCTCTTTATGTATTATATTCTGCAGCATCAGGAGAGGCAGGGTGAGTACATCTGTGTATACACTGCTTATTTAACGGAGAGGTACAATCCTTTTATTAAAGTCTATTTAGATGTTCCAAATATTTCCATTGTCTCTGTTAACCTAGCCCCGGTAAATCTGTGAAGAGGACCCCGTCTGCCTGGCCAAGGAGCAGGGTCAGAGATGCTGTTAAAGGTACGAGGGCTTCCAAAAATGAAAATGAAAATGAAAGCTTTGCCCAAATGAGAAACCAGAGGAACATAAACTCTGAAAACAGCTGATAAAAGAGGTGGAATAAGGGAGCGCTTGAGGCACCATGGTGAACAACCTTAAGGTAATAAAGAATTCCTCCAGATAGGGAAGCAGCTAGCCAGCAGCGGTATTCCAGGGACGTGCAAGGAAACAGCAAACATACTGAATGAATTGCCATTTTTAGGAGGACTATTGGACAAACTGAGGCAAGGAGCAGTAACGAGATACAGTGTTAGAAGCTCTGTCCACAAATTAAGAAAAAAGGAATTCCCGGGTTCGTAAAGAGCCTAAATACAGTGTTAGTCATCTTTGATGAAAACGTGCAACCCACCTTAACACTGGCAGCTATTCCCGAGGACTGGAAAATAGCACTTGTGGCCCTACTTTTTAAAAACAGATTGAAAGGTGTTGAACTTAAATCTGTTCTGGAGAAAATGGTTGCAAATAATATTAAAGAGAAAATAACCAAACACATGGAACAACCACCCCATTGAAAAGGAAGCAGTGTGGCTTCTGCAGAGGTAAGCACTTTTTCACTAGCCTTCACCACTTTCGGATGCTGTCAACAAGCGGGAAGACGAGGGGGACCCAACTGCTGTTAGAGACTTCAGTTTTCAGAAAGCCTCGCTAAGGTCCCACACCAAAGGCTCTTGAGCCTGCCAGGAGCTCTTACAGTGAAGGAGCAGGAAAGAGATGGGAAGTTAGCACTTCTCACCCTGGGCAGGAGAGCAAGGGGAGGCCCTTCGGGAACCCCACTCGGTGCTGGAAGGCTGCTTGGGGGGGTAAAATCAGAGGGGTGGTGAGAAGCTACAGATTTCTCCAAATGGTGAACGGGCTGCAGAATGGCAGGTGAAACACAAACAGCTGTAAAGGGATGCACATTGATCTGCTAACGGGATCTGCACTGGCAGTGACGGACCAGAAAGGGATCGTGGTGGACAGTCTGATAAAAACGTCAGCCCAGGGTGCAGCTGCTTGGAACAGAGAGAGAGAGAGAGACGCAAATGCCCTGCTCAGAATGATTAGAAGGGGAACAGAAAATGGCACTGCCAACGCGGTGAGGCCTTCACGCGAATCTGCGGTGGGGCCGCACTGCGAGCAAAGCGCCCCATTCTCGTTGCTCCCCCTTAGGAAGGCCGCTCCAGAGCTGCAAAGGAGCGATGGGGGGGGCGGAGCAGCCCCCCCACAAGGAGAGACTGCTGCAATTTGCCCCTTCTGCTCGGAACGAGGGGGAGAGACAGGACTGGGGGCATCAAGTCACGGGCGGTGCAGCGCTCTCACCTTGTCGGACCGTTCGCTCCTCCATGGGAACCCGGCGCAGGGAACCGGGACTGAGCTGGGAGCCTGCGGCCAATCTGGACGGCTTCAAAAGGAGGCCGGGTGAACCTGTGGAGGAGCGGTCTGCCAGTGGCGCGGATGGCCGCCTCCGGCCTCCTAGGCAGCGGCAGGCTTCCCAGACCCAGACCCAGACCGGTGGCAATGGCAGGGCTCGCGAGTGTGCCCAGAGTGTCGGAGTCCAGGGATGCTGGTTGAGGAGGAGTGGCGGAGGCAAGAGGGCAAAGACATGATGCTAGTTTGCAACGGGGGACGGCTGCGGTCAGAGGGTGTGGTGGGCTTCAAGGGCCGGGAACCTGTTTTTCTCCGCTGGCAATTTCTGTCTGTTTTCAAGAGGGTATTTTGCATTTCCGGCCTGGGAGGAGAGACTGCAGAAGATGCAGGGACGTGCCAGGCAGTGATGCTCTTTGGCTCCGCCTCCTCCGTTTCAGCCGAGGGAGGGAGGGAGGCAAAGCGGGTGCTGGAGCCTAGGGCAGAGGAGACTGGACCACCGGTGGAGGCTGGTGCAGGGCAAGGGCTCAGCTGCAGCACTTGAAAGGAGGACCGAGAGGACCAGGGAAGATGTGTTAGGTAAGCGGATGCCGGAGGGAGGGGGGAGGAGGAGGCTTCCCCCCTTGTTTTGATCAGACTCCATCCCAAATTGCCAGCTCTTCACCAATATCATCACCATCAACCTCATTTTGCTTCAGCAATGGTTCCTAAAGAATGATTCCTGGAAGCCAGACCGAGAAGCATGCTAGCTTGATTCTTCACACGATTGAAGAAGGGCATGGATGTTGTTGTTCTTGATGGGGGAGCCGGGTGTGGTTTACTGGCTTTAGAAGATTAGCCTGGAGGTTTGCAAAAGCTGCCTGAACTACTGAGGGAAATGTACTGTGAGGCTCCGTCAGGAAATGAGAGTTTATCACCTGACGGGAATCGCCAAATTT